AGGGAGCTATTTCTGTTGTGACTCGCCAGGGAGTCCTGTAGGAGGGACTTGATCTGTTTATTTTCCGAGCTCACACCTTTGGTCAGCTGTCGGATGGTTTCTTTCAGCTCCTTCAGTTCATCCCCTGGTGGTGGTGGCGTGTCCTCCTCCTGCCTGGGGTTTGAATCAGTCCGACTTAGGGATTCCTTTATCAGGGAGGTGAGTTCCGCACTGTCCTTGTGGATGTCCTTGGCGAGGGACTGGAGACTTTTGCGAAGCCCTTCCAGACGGCTGGAGTTTCTGCCGCTGCTCCCCGACTGGCGATAACTTTCGGCGTTTGAGGAGGTCTTGAACTTTTGGACGAGGGAAGAGGAAATTGTGGAATCGTCGTTAAGATCCAAGTAGTTGGCATTCCGACGCTGTAGCATACGTCGCTTGCTGGCACGGGCTCCGTCTTTCGGAGCCGGGTCTCGCGAATTTTGTGAACTCCTGGTCGAGAACATCCCAAAACTTTAGTGAAAAAAGGAGATTTTCGTAGCCCCTGTGTCAACACAGCAATTTGATTATAGATTTACCATGGGAGAGGCAGGGGTAAGTGGATTTCTTAAAATGCAGAAATCGGGTTCAGAATGTCATGAGCCGGAGGTTTAAATCAATTTGTGCCGCATATTCACTCGCTTCTCTGTTAAGATCACCTTGAAGTCTGCGACCTTTCACGTGGCCTCGCTCTGGGATATTGATTGGTTAGTCAAAAAACGGACCAATCAGCAAGCGCCCAGCTTAGCTGCATGAGGCGTACCCGAAAAGATTTTTCCTGGTGATTATTCTGCTTTAATAGAACTCCTAGCATCAGTGTTGTTCTTGTTGTTCGAAAGTGATACGCTCATCTGTAAATTTCGTTTTCCCAACCCGACTTCAATACAGTGTAATTCACTAGGTTGAGTCAAATGAAGACACTAACGCAGTGGCTTGCGCTAATAGGTAAAACCCCTGCCACTGCGAGCTTCAGGCCTGGTTTCATATGGGCAGAGAAGAACTAAGACATCGGACGGGAGGAATAGTCTATTGTTTATAGAGGCAGTGGGGAATGGGTTGGAGGAATTCGGTAGTCGGAGGCCGATGTCCGAAGTTTGAGGGCGCGGCAGTCGTCACAATGAAATCTTGTGTGAGTCAACCTTGAAGATGATTGGCCTGACTGGATTGGATCAGCCTACAATTACGCAGTTGCTAGCAGCCGCGAGAGGCAAGAGGTTGAGCGTTACACTCTGAGTTGGTTTCATCGAGTGTCCAACAGATGTAACGCCGACTACGATTAGAGAATAAAAGTCGATCAATATGTAGAAAACCAATGTGACGCTTAACTGGAGAAGTTGTGACTAAACTACTATAAAATACAGTGGTAAACATTGTGGCCGAAAAGTGGAAGATCGACGAAGAAAAAGATCACAAGGGCTCACGAATCTCCCTCTCTAACAGCAGTCGTAGACAGAGTTTTAGAAATAGTCTTTGAGATGTCTAGCAACACTGCGACTGTGTGGGAGGATTTTGGCAGAAGGATGAACTGAAAGAGATGGTCGCGATCCGCGCCGTTGCTCAGGTAAAAATTTAATGATGTGACACAGCACTCGCAAAAGTTGCTAAGTGCAAAGCTGAAGTTGGCAGATGTGTTTTTAAGCATTTGACTTAAATAAACATACAAATTCGGGTATGAAAAGTACATGCCAAAAATGAACCTGTACAAGCATCTACAGCAAAATTCTGAAATGTGCCAAAGATACATAATCCCTCGTAAAACGGCATTAAGTAGAGTTGTAATATTTATTATCGTACAGCCTACTCTCGCGCCATTTCAGCCACGTCAGGATGCTGGCTTTTTAACGAGATGCCTTCTGACTGCTAACAAAATGTATGCACTGTAAAAAATGGCTACTAAAATAGTATGCATTTAACTCATTGAGTTTGACTACGTTTATAACTTCAAATATATTTTATAGAAAACATTCATAAAATTATTCTTTCTTTGATAGCAAATTATGCATTCTTCAAACTTTATACTTAAAGGAAGTATATATTTCAGTTTTTAAAAATTATAAATATGAGATGTTTTGCGACGGGGAAGTTTTTATTCATAATACATCGTATCCGTCAATTTATTAATGTTGTCTATAAGGTATCCAGCATGATGCACACCTATTCCAAAATCTCCTGAGAACTACAGTAGGTGGACAATCTCATGCAATCCTACGATTTTTACGAGTAACTCCCTCTTACTCAAACACAGCCCAAGCTGTGGCTTCTTACAGCAATAAAGCAATGATCGTTCTTCACAATAGGGCATATTATTATTC